AAAAAAAATTTTTTTTAAATTAAAAAAAAATATATATATATATATCTAGGAATTTCTCTGGAGTTGTTGCAGTCAGCGTAGGTTCAGTTCAATTTCAGATAGCTCCTCTTTCCAGCTTACACTTCTCGATATCTGTAGGCCCCTTCTGGTGTAGTCGGTGTTACCTTCAGGGATTTTAATCTGTTGCACCAGTCCTTTCTGAAGCGGTTCCCTTTGTTCATTTGGCTTCTGTTTGCCGTCTCTTCGGTGTCTAATTTCCGCCCTGACACAGGCGGGCGGAGGTGATCTCTTGTTTAGGTTCGCTAGTTCAGTTCAGTCCTGCTACGGGGAGGGCGGGGCGCTGCAGACAGATACCGCTCTGTGTGGACAGCACTCACCGTGTTCCGGCCACACTGGGTTTGCCCCACTCACGGGTGTCAGTGCTTTCCCCGTCTACACTGCTCAGGCTCCCGGCTGCTCTATACGGAGCGGGCCCTGCGTTGCTGCGTTGAGTGCGGTTCCAGTTTTCGGGTACTCCACAAAAGCGCACATTCGGTTGCGTCTGCGTTTTGTGCCTTCCCCCGGCCTGAGCGGTTCAGGCAGCCAGAGGCTTGGGCGCACTCTCCCCGGGTACGGCGCGCCTTTTCCCTCCGCGGCGAGCGGCCCAGGCAGCCAGAGGCTTGGGCGTACTCTCCCCGAGTCCGGCAAGCCTTTTCCCTCCGCGTCGAGCGGCCCAGGCAGCCAGAGGCTTGGGCGCACTCTCCCTAGGTGCAGCGCGCCTTTTCCCTCCGCGGCGAGCGGCTCAGGCAGCCAGAGGCTTGGGCGCACTCTCCCCGGGTGCGGCGCGCCTTCTCCCTCCGCGGCGGGTGGTTCAGGCAGCCAGAGGCTTGGGCGCACTCTCCCCGGGTGCGGCGCGCCTTCTCCCTCCTAGGCGGGCAGCTCAGGCAGCCAGAGGCTTGGGCGCACTCTCCCCGGATGCGGCGCGCCTTTTCCCTCCGCGGCGAGCGGCCCAGGCAGCCAGAGGCTTGGGCGCACTCTCCCCGGGTACGGCGCGCCTTTTCCCTCCGCGGCCTCAGCGCGCGCCGCCAGTCGGGTCTCAGAAGTCTTTAGATAGGAACCGGGGGCCTGTTTGCAGTGTGGGAGGGGGTGGCTTCTCAGGGGCTGAGTTTGCCCTTTCCCCCTACCCCCTGCCTCCTACCTCCAGCGGGAATGGGCCGGCTCTTCTCTGGACTTTCTCAGTCCCTTTGTTTTGCGAACCGCCGGCAGTGTGTTCGGGCCTGTTAATTTTGACCCTTGCTATCCTACAGTTTAAAAAAGCTCCCTCCGATTGCTCTCAGGGTCTTCGGGCCGGTCCTTACCCTAAGCAATGCCGCCCGCTCCTCTCCGTCCGGCCCCGGCTTGTTGCTGGTGGGTACGGGCGTCTGGGGTACTTTTCTGCTGGGAGTTGCTTTTAGGCACGTAATCTGTGGGCCTTGTTTAATTTTTCCTCCCAGTTAGATTGCTGAAAACTTCCCCCAGTCCCGCCAGTGCGAGGGTTTCCTGGTGATTGGAAACTTCCTCTATTAAGACTCCCTTCCCGGGACGGGTCTCCGTCCGTAGCTCTTTTGACTCCCTTTTTATCTTTTATATTTTGTCCTACCTCCCTTCGAAGACAATGGGCTGCTTTTCTGGGCGCCTGATGTCCTCTGCTAGCGATCGGAAGTTGTTTTGTGAAATTTGCTCAGCATTCAAATGTTCTTTCGATGAATTTGTAGGAGAGAAAGTGGTCTCCCCGTCCTATCCCTCCGCCATCTTGGCTCTTAAACCAGTCTTTTGTCATTTATATCAACAGTTGTTAGTTTACTCTGATGCTTTTATAAAACTGAAGATCTTCAGAAAGATCTTATAAAAAGGACCTTTTGACAATATAGGCTTCTGATATCTTTCACTTTAAATTTATTTTTGGCTGTGCTGAGGTTCATTGCTGCACCGGCTTTTCTCTGGCTGCAGCAAGCGGGGGCTACTCTTCATTGGGATGCACGGGCTTCGCATTGCAGTGGCTTCTCTTGTGAAGAACAGGCTCCAGGGCACGTGGGCTGCAGTAGCTGCAGCTCCCGGGCACCAGAGCACAGGCTCAGTAGTGTGGCGCATGGGCTTAATTGCCCCGCAGCATGGACTGGATCTGGGATAGAACCCATGTCTCCTGCGCTGGCGGATGGATTTTCTGCCACGGAGCCAGCCACCAGGGAAGCCCGGATTCTGGTAACTTCGAGATCATACTACTGAACTGAGTAGGAAATACCAAAACTCAAATGGAAAACCTGATGGCCTCGTAAAACTACTAACAAAACAATCTAAATCAACAAGAATCAATTTCATGGGGCTGAATGACCTGATAAATAAAATGTATAACTTCATGACTTTTTCTCTTAAATATTAATGGCTTTTACTATTTGTTTTCCAGAGAAGAGTAAACCTTTCCTTTTACAGTAACTACAACAAGAAGCAAGTAGATAAAGCGTACCTTTGGAGATGAAGATAAGACATTTATTTTTTCCTCTCTACAGAATCTCTCCAGAATTTGCCTTTTACAGCAGGCTCCCCTCTGGACTTGTTGGCTTATTGTGATCCTGGTTACAACTAGTTACACTAATCAGCGTTGTAAAATTTTCTTTTTGTTATTTTCAGACTGTTTACGGTTTATATCTCTTGCTGCTATACTGTGACTTTATTAATGCTATTAGCTATATTACTTATGGGCTTTCCAGATGATGCTGGTGGTAAAGAATCCACCCCTTGATGTAAGAGATGCAATCTCTTACTCAATCTCTGGGTTGGGAAGATCCCCTGGAGGAGAGCATAGCAACCCATCCGGTATTGTTGCCTGGAGAATCCCATGGACAGAGGAGCCTGGTGGGCTACAGTCCATAGCATCGCAAAGAGTTGGAAACGAGTGAAGCAACTTAGCACAGCATATTAGTACTAAATATGCCTGTCTTTTATAAGATTATTGTTCTTTACATTACTTGATGTATAACAAAACTAATGATGGATAATTGTCTTGAAGTAATTGATCACATATATAGCTCTATACAAAATTACTTTTAATAGTACAACTCTAGATATAGGAAAAAGCAACAGGAGACAAATAATTCCTGAATCATAATAGAATAGTAAAACACATAATCCAGAGAAGTTTAGGTTATTAACAGGACCTAATTCAGATATAGGGCTTCCTAGATGGCTCAGTGGTAAAGAATCCACCTGCAATGCAAGAGACCTGGGTTCAATCCGGGGATTGGTAAGATCCCTTGAAGAAAGAAATGGAAACCCTCTCCCTAATTCTTGCCTGGGGAATCCCAAGGACAGAGGGGCAGGGCAGACTGCAGTCCATAGGGTCGCTTAGCGGCTAAACAACAACAAACCAGATATAGCATTTGAAAGGCCTTTCAACAAAATCCTTGCCTGACCCAGGAATGAGCATTCCTAGCACTATGGGACAAACTGATCATAAAATGCCTCCTCAAATGGTCAAACCTATGACCCAAAGGAGGAAAGGAAGATGTAAACAGAAAGAAGAGACTTGCTCATCACCCAAAAAAATTATACTAAGGGTTAAGCTGCAACCCACTACCCTGAGGGGAATTCAGGGTGGAGAAAAATAGGAGGGAGCATTCTGTGTTTTGGATATATGTGTTCTGGCTCCTAAATAATAAATATGCATAGTCAAGGAAGAATTTCAGTGACCCAGTGCAAGAGAATTTTTGCATCTTCCCACACGGAGAAAGTGCTCTCCTGGTGGCTCAGATGGTAAAGAATCCGCCTGCAGTGTGGGAGACCGGAGTTCGATCCCTGGGTCAGCAAGATCCCCTGGAGGAGGGCATGACAACCCACTCCAGTATTCTTGCCTGGAGAATCCCATGGACGAGGAGCCTGGCGGGCTACACAGTCCATGTGGACGCAAAGAATCAGACACGACTGAGCGACGAAGCACGCCTGGCACTAAGAAAGCACAGAAAAAAGCACTAGTATCATTAACTTGAGGTGTGTGTGTGTGTGTCTGTGTGTGTGTGTCTGTGATTAGCAGTAATCTTTAGCCAAGATGTACACTTGGCCTGTGTATTTCCCAGTGAAGTTTCTTTTTCCACAAGCCCTCTGCCACTTTCTGTGCGGCACGGCTTGTGGGATCTTAGACTTGTGGGAACTCAGTTCCCCGATGAGAGGTTGAACCTGGACCCCAACAGTGAAGGTGCCAAGTCCTAATCACTGGACTGCCAGGGAATGCCCCCAAATTTAGTTTTTATATACAAGCTCCTCACCACCTCTTAGAGGCTCTTACCTCAGAGATGTTGAGAGGCTATTTCCTGGGCTCTCATTTCATTGGGTCCTCAGTAAGCTCCTTGGATGAAACTTCCCTTACAGCTTTTACACCCTGCATCCAGGAATAGTAAACAGGAAGCCTTTTGACCAAACCAACACTTAGCTCTTTTGGGGGGGGGGCGGGGCGGAGTGGAATTCACACAGAAACGATACAGTCTGAAGTTGTTTCTCTGCTCTGATTCCCTCACCAGCGCTTCAGGGTCCGTCTAGTAGGGCTCTGCTAATCCAGGTGGGATCCAAAGACCAGCAGAAGTAGGCATTACCTGGGAGCTTGTTAGAAGGGGAGAATCTCCAGACCTACAAAATCAGAAACTGCGTTTTAACAATCTCCCCAGGTTAGCTTTAGAGGCTGCAACAGAATTCTTCCTTGTCCTTATAAACCCATTAGTGAGATTACAAAGGATAAACAAAGCTAGGGAATGGATATACTGTGAATCTTTTTAACACAACTGTTGGTCACAAGCATGGCACCGTTTTTTTTTCCCTCCCTGGCTACCCATTCATTCATTCAACAAATATTTGAGATGAAAATAAGGGAGCACGGTATGTAACGAACATCTACTGAACTCGTTTAACCACCTAGACTTCCATGAGACCGTTATGCCTACTTCGTATGTGGGAACGCTGAGGAGAATAAAGAGGGAAGAAGCAGGACTCCCCAGATGACACTGACAATGTCACAGTGCGCAGTAGAGCCAGGATCCGAATCCACGGCCTTCCGGAAGCAGCACTTGCGTCCCACACGGTCTGCCGCCCACACGGGTGTCCATGCCTTCCCTCTCCTGGGCAGGAACGTCGTTGCAAAAGGTCAGACTTCCCCTAGTCAAGCAGCCGGCTTCCTCCTCTGGCCCTCTGCGTCAAGGGGCCAGCAGCCAAGATCGGGGTCAGAGGTAAACAGTAACCAAGCTCCAGAGCTAACACGTTCCAGGAGTTTGGACCGAGCCTCGGAGGGGTGAGTGGGGCGGGCAAAAGAGTAAACCCGCAGCATCCCGGTCAGTGGGCGCAAACACCTAGACCTGCCATCTCTTCCATCCTTCCATCTTGGTCCTTTCAGGCTGGCGGTGCCTGTTGTGGGCGGGGGGGGGGGGGGGGGGGGGGGGGCGGAATCCGAGGCGAGAAGAGCGCCTAGAGAGGCTTTCCCGTAACCAAAATGTCGGCCGCGCACTCGCTGCCCTCAGCCGACATGGCGGCCTCCGGGTGGTCTCCATGGTAACGCAGCCAGCCTCTCCGGTGCAGGCTTAGGCCGGGCGTGTGTGGAGACGAGCCTTTCCCGCCCCCTCATTTTTTTGCGACAGTTGCTGGGGACGTCACGGCAGTTGGCGGGTGTCAGCTGATTTGCTGCAGCGGCGGCGGCGGCGGTGGAGGCGGCAACGGGCCCCTCGTAGCAGCGCTAGCGAGGCGGAGGCTGGGCTGGGGTTCCAGCCCGAAGTTTCCGCGCCCGGGTTTGCCCACCCGGCGTCCCTCCCGGATACATCCTCGCCTGGTCCTGTTGGCCGGAGGGACGGGATATAGCCAGGCACATGATGAAGCTGTGACAGGTGAGGGGGCTCTCGGGCTTTCCCGGGGGAGGTCCCAGCGCGGCTGCGCCCCCGCCTTGGGGCTCAGGGGCCGGGGCTCGGGGGTCCCCGCCCCGCTCCCTCTGGCGGCGGTGCCCGCCGTCCGATCCGCCGCCACTGGAAGCTCTGATCCGGTCCGGGCCCGCAGCTCGGCGCCGGTGCCCGGAGCGTGGGTCCTGCCCAGGGTCTTCGGGGCCCCCCGGCCTAGTGAGTGACAGCGCTCCTGCCGCTGGCTCTGGTCTTGGGATGGGACCACCTTGCCCTCCAAGTGACAATCAAAACGGAGCGATATGCTTGACGTTGACGGGTGGGTGGTTCTTGACAGCGCTTTTGGGAAATGTGCTTGCTTTGGGGGTACCCACAGCCCTTCCCGATGCTCTTTGGTTTGCCCTTGCCCAGGGTGCTGAGACGTCTGTTAGCACACCTGCCCGCTCTCGTCTCCCTGCCCTAGGACTTGATCTAAGAGGATACCTGCCCCCGGCGCCCACTTACTTAATGGGTCCCAGCTTTCTGAAGCTCTATGCTTGGAGTTAGCCATACCCCCCGCCTTGTATTCAAAAGCTGCCGTTTTGTGCTTTGATTCACTTGCTATGTCAGTTTCTCAGGTCCTAGAATTTGAAATTATGGCAGCTGCATCACAGGAAGCGTTGGAGTTGATGCATCTGATTTTAGGGTTCAGTGAGAGAGAGAGCTACAGTTTGCTTTCACAGTAGCATTTCACAGTAGCATTTGACAGCCAGAAAAGTCAAGCTGTGACTCTTTGAGATGTTTATTATTTAGGGCTTTACAGGCAGGATGTCAGGATCGCCTGTTATATGAGAGAAATTGAGTTTTGAAATACACACACTCGTTTCTTTATAAGAAATTTGTGACAGTATGGAGGTGGAGGACAGCTTAAAAGTGAAAATAAAGTGTTGAAATGCCTTTGATATTACGAAGAATCAAAGGTTACCTTGATTTCATTCAAAATAACATGTTAGTTGTTTCTAACTGGGCAAACAGAACAGTATAAACATGTATTAAATGCCTGGTTAATTTTCCTTTTTTAAAAAATATTTTATTGACATATAGTTGATTTACAGTGTTGTGTTAGTTCCTGGTGTACGGCAGGGCGATTCAGTAATACAAATATCTAATAGTCTGCATTTGCTAATCTCAAACTCCCAGTCCTTGCCTCCTCCACCCACCCTCCCCCTTGGCAAAATCACAAGCCTGTTCTCTACATCTGTGAGTCTGTTGCAAAGATAAGTTCATTTGTGTCATATTTTAGATTCCACACATGCATTTTTTCTTTAATTTTATTTATGTAACTTATTTTTGGTTGTGCTGGGTCTTCCTTATGGTGCACGCTCTCTTTAGTTGCAGCGCATGGGGCTTATTCTCTGGTTGCAGCGCGCGGGCTTCTCACCTCTGTAGCATCTCCTGCTGCGGAGCACAGGCTCCAGGGCACGTGGGCTTCAGAAGTTGCCCCTCGCGGGATCAGTAGTTGTGGCACATGGGCCTAGTTGCTCGGATGCATGTGGAATCTTCCCGAACCAGGGATGGAACCCGTGTCCTCTGCATTGCAAAGCGGATTCTTAACCACTGCACCACTAGGAAAGCCCCCCCACCCCACCCCACCCTTTTCTTTTCCATAGAAGGGAATACCATCCTTTATTTATACTTGGATTCTAGTTCAGAGACATTTTAGACAGTATAGCAAAGTGAGAAAAGGCACAGATCCTGGGACCAAGATTCATATTCCAACACAAGAGTATTAACTGCCCGACAGCTCTCTAACATTCCCCGCAGTCTCTTCAGTCTAGTGGGGAGAGGATCACACCCCTTCTAGTGGCTATCACAGCTGCCTCTGCCCTAGTGGCCAGCCTGGGTACTCACCCCGCAGGCAGATCAGCTGAGAGTGAACTCTGTAGGTCTCAGATCACTGATTATGGTGGTTCTCAGTGAGTTATTGAACATCTGAGGTCGCCGCTACCTCCAGACATTCTGAGGCAAGATGTAGGAACGCAGACTGGCTCAAGGAATGAGTGTGATCTTATGATTTCCTTTTGTTTGGATAGAAGTTCTGTTTTGAAACAGAGGAGGTGAGGTGGTTGGTTTATCTGTGTAACAGACTAGCCTGGCAGACTCTCCAAGTAGTGAGCTGTTGTTGAGCCTCTGTCATCGGAAGGTGGGATGACGGTTAGCCTTTCCGGTGTCCTCTATGCTCCGAGTTTCGTTTTGGATCTCAAATGCAGAGGGTTGCGTTAATCTTTTTCAATTCAGCGAGCATCACTGGGATGTTCTACATATCTCTTATTTTTTTTTCCCGTATTCTTTGTCTTTTATTTCCAATTTCCACTCCCTTCCCTTGCCCACCAACCCATAGGCAACCATTGCAGCATGTATGATACGTATCCTTCTGTTGGTGTGTGTTCTTCGATGTATGTTGTTTTGAGCCCCCACATTTTAAATTTATAGAGATGATATTGTACACAATCTCATTAAATTTTTTTCTCTTCCTGCTCACTACTATTTTTAATATTATTTCTTCATTTATTTTTGGCTGTGCTAGGCATTGGTTTCTGTGTGTGGGCTATTCTTTTTTGTAAAAAAATATTTGTTTATTTGGTTTTGCTGGAGTCTTAGTTGTGGCATGGGAGATCTTCCTTGCCGGGAATGAGATCTCTTAGTTTCTGTGTGTAGGATCTAGTTCCCTGACCAGGAGTGGAACCCAGGCCACCTGCATTGGAAGCGTGGAGGCTTAACTGCTGGACAACCAGGGAAGTCCCCGACTTTTCTTTGGTTTTGGGGAGCGGGGAACGGGGGGCGGGTACTCTAGTTTCGGTGCTTGGGCCTCTCACTGCGGTGGCTTCTGTAGCTGCAGAGCGTGTGTCCGGGGCTCGTGGGTTTCAGTAGTTGTAGCATGTGGGATCACATTGTGCTTGCAGCAGGGATTTAGTTGCTCCGTAGCATATGGGCTCTTCCTGAAGCGGGGATGGAGCTGGTGTCTCCTGCATTGGCAGCTGGATTCTTCTGCCGTTGACCCCCCCCAGGCAGCCCCACTGTCTGCTGTTTAAGGATCTGTTTGTGTTGCCATCTGTTGCTTCCAGTTGCCGTGCAGTATTTCAGAATTTGCATCTCCTACAGTTAATAAGCAGACTCTCCTCTTTGTGGACGCCCATCTAACTTTCATTTTCCTGCCACTTCAGGCAATACTGTGGTACACGTGTCTTTTAGACCTCTGTGATGCTTTCTTTGAGATATCCCTCTAGCAGCACGATGTCTGGATCATAGGGTTTTTGTGTGTTTTATTGAAGGTTTGCCAGATTGTGTTCCCAGAACGAGCTGCAGTGGTCTGTCTTCCTGCAGGCAGTTCAGGAGAGTTTCTGTATCCTTGTATGCCCACTGATGCTCAGTGTTATCCAGCCCCCTGCTTTCCTCCAGACCTCTGGGTACAAAGTGAATCTCATTTCGAATACTTTTCACTATTACTCATGAGTTTGAGTCTCTGTTTATGAGCATTTTATCTTTTGGGGTTTTTCCTTTTGTAAAATTGTTTATTCCTTTACCCATTTGAAAAAAAATTATTTATTTTTTAATTGGAGAATAATTGCTTTACGGAATTTTGTTGGTTTCTGCCAAACATCAACATGAATCAGCCACAGGTATACGTCTGTGCCCTCCCTCTTGACCTGCCCTCCCTCTTGACCGTCCCTCCCGTCTCCCTCCCCATCCCACCCCTCTGGGTTGTTTCAGAGTCCCTGTTTGGGTTCCCTGAGGCATACAGCAGATTCCCATGGGCTATCTATTTTGCATATTCTTTACCCGTTTTTATTCTGAAGTTTCACACTTTTCCTTGCTGATCTTCAGAAGCTCCTTGTATTTCCTAGATTTTTTAGTTGCTAAATTGTGTCCTACTCTTTTGCGACATGCCCAGCAAACTACTCTGTCCGTGGGATTTCCCAGATAAGAATACTGGAGTGGGTTGCCATTTCCTTCTCCAGGGGATCTTCCCGGACCAGGGATCAAACCTGTGTCTCCTGCATCGGCAGGTGGATTCTTTACCACTGAGCCACCCGGGGAGCCCCTTTCCTCGATACTAGTCCTTTAAATTTTATATCTGTTCCTATTCTGTCATTTGTCTCCAACTTGATTTTATGATGTCCTTCATTGAACAGAACTTTTCAATTTGACATAATAAAGTTAAAATTTTTTTTGCCTATGCTTTGTGTTTTTTATTAAAGAAATCTTTCTACAACTCTGTGTGACAAAGTTATTCTCCTATTTTATGTACTACTAACTTTATTGTTTTCCTTTAAATTTATAGGTCTCGAATCCATCCAGTGTTTTTTTACATGTCACAAGATAGAGATCCAGTTTATTTTCCATATAGTGTGTCAGATTTCCTAGTGTCAGTCTCTCCTTTCCCCACAGATAAATGGTGCTACACTCGCTGTGTATTAACCTCTCATATAAACTCCGAACACTGTAGTCTGTTCCTTTGGCTCATTTGTTTGCTTTTGTTCTAGTATTACGCTGTTGTAGTACTATGGCTTTGTATGATTATTTTTTTCCTACATAAGTAAGTCTTTCCATTTATTTTGTTTTAGCTTTATGTTGAAACGGTTATAGATTAAGAGGGTTGCAGAAGCGCTACCGAGAGGTCTGATTTACCCCACTGGTTACATTTCATGTAAGTTCACCCAGTTTCCTTCCATGGTTATATTTTATACAGCTATAGTAAAATAGTAAAACCAATAAATTGACATTGGTACAATGCCTTATGTAGTTCTTTGCCGTTTTATCACCTGTGTGGATAGATACCTGTAACCACCACTGCAGTCAACATACAGAACTGGGCACTTCCCTGGTGGACCAGTGGCTCGGACTCCACACTCCTGATGCAGGGAGCCCAGGTTTGATCCCTGACCAGGGAACTAGATCCCACATGCTGCAACTAAGACCTGGCACAGG